CTTTTAAGGGAGAAAAAAGCTCTTATTAAATGTACGTATCAGTTGTAAGAAGTATTTTCAGAAATATAGAAGCATCAACTAACATGCTCATTTTATGATATGTGTCAAGCACTTTACTAGTACAGTGGGTACAAAGGTGTGTCTGATAGTCATGGACCTGGCATTACAGAGTTGAATCTGGTGGAGTTGCACATACATTATAAAAATGAACACATACAAATATAAAGTTATGTTGCAAGCATTCTGGATAAATTTCATCATGTAAATAGAAGGGTTTCTCTGAATCTGAGTTTTATGCTTTATTGAGTAGTGAGTGCTGACAGGTCAATGAACTATGAGAATTTACCTTCCACCTCCTTCCTCCATGTATCACTAATCAACCTCTGGAGTTCTGCTGTAGTTGCAGTCTGCCTTTCCTCTTTCTTCCAGATGACCTCATCATGCTGACATCCTCTCAAATTTTCAGTCAGAACTAGTTTTATGGATCCATATTTGTATATCTTTATCCCACATTAAGATAACATCTCAAGTTTATTCAAAACTTCTAGTTGAAATCTTTTATGGCAGTGTTAAGAGCACAATTGTCTTTACTTGACAAACAAGATTGTCAGTCATGTCAATCATTTTCTCAGTCACCATGTATGTCAAGTCAGGAGATGTCAATTATTTTACAACATGTTCAGTTAATCAATATGCATTAAGTATCACTTGCTATATGTACAATATTAGGCTAGGACTATAGGGTATACAATTGTTACATGTTTTCTACTTTAAAGTAGGCCTGAAACTAGTTGAGGAGATGAGAGAAATAATATTCCTTTCTGAGTATAGTGTCAATCAGTAAATAACATTTATTCAGAATAGATCACTGTCCTGAGTTATGTGGAAGGTTGGGTATTGGAAAAAACAACAGAGAGATAGGAAGACAAAAACAAAAACAGAACCTTCCCATAACCTTGTAGTGAGATCACTCTTTCTAATGGCTTGGTAATTATTATTTAACTATTGTCTTAATATATTGGAAACTAGAGTAATAGACCCGGCTCTTTGCTTTTGACCCAGCCAATGGAAAAGAGTTAATACAACTCCAATCTTTCTTTAGCTAGCCATCTTTCAAAGCTTTAGATTATTATTTTATATTGAAGGAGCATTTCATCTTACATAAACAGAATGCTTTATTCTATTTTTGCCATTTGTTAAAATCCAAGCAACCTAGAAAAAGTTATTCCCACAAACTCATTACTTATTGCTAACTTGACATATTCAGCTTGATCATCTGGTGTAATATATATATTCTTGAAATGAAGTTGATTATGTTGACACTTGCACTTGGCACAATGAAAGGAAAGCATATAGCTTCAAATATAAGGTCTACATACTATCACATTATAAGGTTAGGATGCCAGAGAACTAGGAAAGTCTTTTTTAAAAAATCAAAGACATTTTGTTATTTGATTAGTAAAACTATGAATTTCAAGAACTCTGAATATAGGATCCCCAACTAGGAGAATATATGAAATGTAGATCCTAAATATGATGCCTCTTTTTCAATATCTTACACCTAAACAAAATTTGTGGAAACACAGGCAATTAAATTTGCAGAGATGGCAATGTTAGATATACTGCATCCTAGCTATGACATTTTCTAAAAAATTTTTTCAAACAAACTCTGAAAGCATGGAACCAGCAACATCAGGAGAAAATCAGGTGAGCATGAGTGCAATGACACTTTAAAACTGATTAAAAACAGGGACAATGACAAGAAAATCACCAAAAGTGTCATGGGGACTTCATGAAACAGAAAATGCTTTGTGCAGAAGTGTGTTTATACAATACATTAAAGTAGCCATTATTATTAGCAATAACTTTTATTTTCTTTAATGTACATGATTAAAAGTATACTAATAAATATATGCATTATATGCACAGCAGGAAAGATGGGTTTTGTTTCTCCAAAGAGCAGCTAACTGCAGCACCATTATTGCCAGCAGATCAGATTCAATGTATACAACACACGTGGTACTAGAAGCGAAGGAATCATGGTGTGAAGACAATGCAGCAGGTTACCTGGTCAGCACTGCATTTCCCAAGGAGGTTTATTCTCTCTGTTTCTCTTACAACCATTTCAGTGCCAGGTGACACTAAAACGTCACCACTCATCAGGATGAACCAGTCTTCCCATCCCTTCTACCTCCCTGACTTGGGTTGAGAAGGGCACCTTAGGCCACAGAACATATTCCTGCTCAGCCTTCAAACAGTTAGGTTTCAGATGCACACACTGTGATTAAAGCATAACTTTAACTTAAAATTGTAGAGATCTTTTTTTATAAAAAGGGAATACGGAAACATTGAGAAAGTCAGGACCTGTGCCCTCCTCTTGGTCACCATGACACGTAGGAATCATGGCAGACAAAGCTATTTCTGCTCTCACATTATCCACTCAGCATTTGTCTTACTTAACCCCACCATTTGTCTTGATCTCATCACTGGTTGACTCCCTGGAGGTTGCAATCCCCTTTTACTCACTCTTTCCATCATTCCTCTGTCTCTGTCTCTATCCTCATTCTCAAGTATACATAGCTCTTTTCAATTGGAATTACCATTCTTGGGGCCTCTTTGCCCTGTCTGGAAGGCTATGGGTTTTTTCCTTGTCAACATCAAAGGGACCTGTGCATACTTTTTCCATTTCTTTATCACCTACTCCCTTCTTAATTTTTTGTAAACTGGCTTCTACTTGTGCCACCACCCCCCAACCCAATACTGTTTCTTAAAGTTAAAAGTAATCACTTCCACTTAAGCTGTTCAATTTCTATACCACCATTATCTCTAAAGATTTCCTGATATAGTCTAGCCCCTTGCCTTTTACAATCTGACATTATCCATGGTTCTCTTCTAATACCGCATTCTTATTTTTTATCAATGGCACATTTTTTTTCCATTCTTCTTCCTTCACACTGTGACTATTATCCAGGGCTTAGTCCTTGCTTTTCTGATCTTTTCCTTTCTAGACCAGGGGGTTTTGAACAGTGTTCCTCAGACTGAAGAACTTTAGAAGCTGCCACCGAAGGTTCAGGAAATAGCTGGAAGTATAGACAACTGGTGCCTCCCCACTACTTCAAACAGAATAGCTCTGCTTTTACCTGTTTTATGTGTTCCATGTTGTTTCTTTTGGAGAACTTATTTGTATTCATCAGCATAATTTAAGTTATATCACAGTCATAAAGTCTGAGTCTAATTTCTTGTTTTACCACTCCCTATATGATTTGGGACAAATATTTCAAAGCATTAATATATAATTTTGTATCCAATCCTATGCCATTCCTTCCATTTGAAATGTGTTCCTGACCTCTTCCTCAGTTCTTTCCTAACTCCGGCTGGTTTTTTCATCTTCTATGTCACTTCCTCCAGGAAGTCATTCCTGAACCTGAAATCTGGGTTACATACTCCTCTGATGTGGTGCCATAGCATTCTGTACCAATCCCTTAACCCAGCACTCATTTCACTGTGTTGTCTCTTTGTCTACATTCCCTACTAAACTGGAATCTCAATGAGGACAGACTGTTATTTATGATTTCCCTAGCACCTAGCAGAGGGCCTGGAATGTAGTAGGTTTGAAAATCCAAGCAAAGATAATTTTATATGGCCCAAAAAGGATATCAAAACTAGATGGCCCTGCTCTCTTTTCAACTGAAGATAATTGAGAAGGCCTGTATCAATCTTTCCCTCATTCTGATCCAACTGCTTTTCACATCTGCTCACTTTCTGAGTGTCCCTGACACTTCCTGCATGCACTTCTGAACCCTGCTCACAGCAACGTTCCTATTTGCTTTTATGGGGAAAGTTATTTTACATTTCCACTCCGGCTTTTCTTCTCTAAAACAGAGGTGCTCTGTGGACAAGATCTCCAATGACCAAGAAAAATTCAAAGTACTAAAAATCAGGTTAGTTTCAACACCGTATCATTATGTAATTCTTTCTAAGAAAATGCAACATTGCACTATTTTGGCGTAATTTCAACAATTTAAATTTCTTCTAGTAGCAAATAAAGACAATAAATCTTCAAAGGACTTGAGGCCATATCTAAGCAATTTATAAGAAGAGCGCTGGTGGTTGGTGCAAAGGTTATAACTACCTTACAAAGAACACACTGCTTCAAATATTTGTTGTATAAAAATATATACATAAACACAAGCAAAGAAATCTTAAAATTAAATCAAAGAAAGGCATAATATTCTCCCTGTTTATCACCTACTCCCTTCTTAATTTTTTGTAAACTGGCTTCTACTTCTGTCACCACCCCCCAACCCAATACTGTTTCTTAAAGTTAAAAGTGTACTAGTTTTAACTAGTCCACATATACTCTGCAAACACAGCCTTAGGAAATTCCAAACTGCTATCACACTAAAACTAGGAAGTACAATAGACCAATCCTGTCTTTAATCCTAAACTGTGATTTCATCTTCAATAGGCAATTCCTGGATGTTACTCTCATAAATGTCCTAAGTTTCAGAAGAAAATTTACATTTCAACTCAGTGATTTTAATATATGTTTTTATCATATTTTCAAACATCAGGCTAGTACAATCTAGACCCAATGAATCTCTTTTACCTCATTGCTCTAAATTCAAAATCTTATATTTTCACTGTTACGATTCTTTGGATTATACCAAATGAAAAGTTTTAAAGGAACCAAAATCATGTATATTCTGTAAAACCAAAATCTCTGTATAGTAAAATTGGCCTTGATTTATTATCTATCTACTTAATAAGGAATGCCCGACAAATAGAACTTCACAATGATATTCTTGGCAGAATTTTTTGAATGAGAACTCAAGTATCAGATGAATGGCTGATTAGATGACTTTAAAAATCCTTCTCCATTCTGAGAGTCCAGGATTTTAGGCACTCTGTCTGCTGAGTAAGTTCCTCATATTTCTTATAACAATAGCAATATTTATAAAAAGAAAAGCCCCCTAGCCAACAGAGGAAATGGTACTTACGAGTACTGTGTTAGCAGTTCCAAGTCATTATGCATGTTGATTGGATATGCTTCACTGAGTTCAAACAACTTCTCTAGGGCCTCATAAATGAAAATGAGGCAAATCAGAGAAGCGAAAGCCTCTTCAGTGAAGCGGGTGATATAGCAGACAAGAGAGCTCGCATCGGTGGCCACAAGTATGATACACAGAGTGGCAGTCCAAAGTCCAATACTAGCTCTTAAAGACAGGTAGGACAGCCCATTTTCTCTGGAAGGGGGAAAAGAGCAGTGGAAAGAAGGTCACTTAACAGCTTGCTGCCATTTTAAATAAACGGAAATAAGCCAAATTCAGGAAATGAAAGTAAATATGCTTCACATTCCGTGAGTATCTAAACTCAGAACTTTGTCTAAAGGGAACATTTAAGGGGCCAAAACTAAAAGAGGGTTTTCAATGCTTAGAGATGCATATGACTTTTTATGGATATTCTATACCAATACACACAAATCTTTTCTTCTCCTTTATTTCCACAGAGAGACAACTATGTCAAAACGAATCAAACCAGCCACCTCCGCGTCTCCCAGAAGACCTCCAAATGTGATGCTGGGGGAAGTATAGATACAGCAGAGAAACAGAAAGGGGCTAAGGGCCACAAGTATATAACACTTACTTGCAAAATTTAAACAAGATCTTTTCAAACACCAAAACTGGTCCTGTACTGCCTAATATGGTGAGAGGCTGTCCACCAAAGAGAGAATAGGCAATCCCAGTCATGGACGCTCCAAAAAGAGATTCGATTGCACTCTGTGTGGAGATATAAACGATCCATTATCTAAGCTAGACAGCAAGCCGGTACAACTAGGGAGAGAAAGCTCAAAATACATGGACATATTCTTTTTTCTTTGCTATGAAAAGCCTAGGAATGTCAGGTGGGAGCTTAAGAAAAGGGGCGGGCAGTCGGCAGAATATGATGGGCAGTGAACAGGGATGTGCCCTCCCTACGTTCCTTGTCTTGCTTTTATTTCACTTTCTACAAGTTTACATATATTCATGGTAACTGCCTGGACAAAAGCACGGCCTGTATAAATGGGAAGGGAACCAGCGCCCAAAGCTAGCCTAGGACTGGGGGGCCAGGGATGAGGTCAAAACTTTGTGTAAGACTAAGAAATAATTATCCTGAGATATTTCACTCCTAGATTACCAGTTCCACCTAGCCAGCTAGGAAATTCATATGAAGCTGGTCTGCCGGACTGTATACCAAATCTCTCCTCATAATGGAATCTGAAACTAAATGCTCATTTATCTAACTACAAATCTTAAAAACTAAGTTTCGAAGTTCAGAGAAAAGCACGATACATACTATCCGTCCTTCAGTTGCTTCTCCCAGCAGTCCTCCAAATGTGATGACAGGAGACATACACGCGCAGTAGAGAAATAGAAAAGATGCTAAGCACTGCAGGCTGAAAGCATCTCTGAAGTCACTCCAGAAGTATGGAGCTTTTCTTTTAATATCTAAAATAAGGCCCCCAAAAATCCTAAGACAGGGGGAAAAACACAACAGTGAAATCCAAATATAAAAAACACACAAATCAGAATGCTCATTTACTTTGTTGCCAGGTCACAGTATGTTTTCCACCAGCAGAGATGAGGCTCACATAAACCTTGCATCGTCATGATCTACAGAGATGGTTTTGCACCACTGTGTCACCCAATTCCTAACCAAATACTGTATCAACAACCAAACAATCCTAGGTTCTTTCACACAAGGTTCAGAACTATTCATGCCAAAATTCAAATAGTGAGATTTAATGATTACTTCAGTCTCTGTTGCATTTCTGTATCAGCCAGTCCCTAAACTCAGGCCAACTACCTTCCACCATTGGTAGTATTTTCTAATTGTTTACATCCCATGTAGCATAGCAGGAAGTGAAGGAGAGAGGGTAAATTGGCTTTTACATACTCCAATAGTGAACATCACCCTGGAGAGAAAAACTAGAGTTTAACCATGGCTCCAGTTACCTACACCCTGTGCCAAAAAAATTCCTCACCAGCTATTGTTCCAGGCAGGCACCTAAATGGTCTTATGAATGACAGTAAAACTTAGTAGAGACAGATAGGTTCCATAGTTGTTTTCATTTTGAGGAAACTAAGATGGAGACCTTATAATAACCAACGTAGGTAAATGTAACTGATCTGCTATTGTCTAAACATTCCAACATCTATCATTTGCAAGATGATAATGACCTTACTTGGTATAAATTCATTTATTCTAAATATATCCAACAAGCACACTGAAAGATTTGGAGTGTGCATGGGAAGGGTAGTATTAAGTTATGAAATGCTGTCTAAAATATGAAGATGAACATTTTTTAATCTACTTAGGGATGAGAACATTCATGAACAGGTATTTTTATTCTTTGAACATTTGATAATAATATGCATACTTAACCCCTGACTACTAAAGGTTCTTTGTGCTCCATGTAATAAAAACGTCATGTTAAATTAATAAGGCTATGACTAAGTTCCTACATGGAGGCTAAAAAAATTATATTATGTTATAATATGCTGCCAATATGCTGAATATACTTAGATTATGCAAAAAAAAATGACTTCTAAAGGAATATTTATTTGACAATCTAAAAATCACTTCCCAAAACAATCGTTTCCCTGAGAAACAAATTGTGGCTTGCCTTGAAAAATATATATTTTCAGAATAACTAAAAATTGACTATTATTTCTAATTGCCCTAATCTGACTGACATAGACACACCATTAAGGTATTAGTAACTATCTTACTATTATGAGAGTGAATGAGTCACTATGTTTTCCTAGTGATTGGTTCTACAAGAGGGATATGGCGTAGGAGAGGTTGAGAAGGATGAAATTTCAATTGGAAAATGGACATTTAAAACTCAGAGAAGCTTGGTGACAATCTGAGAAACACACACATACAAAGATTATCTTAGATTCCCCTACCTGGTATTAGGCAAAATACATGCATTTTTTTTATTTGGGGGATCATTTATGAATGATTTCTTAACTTGTCAAAGTCACAATTCAAAACTGATTTAATCTACTAATCTATTCATTCATTTATTATTTATATCCCACCTACTCCCAAAAAGAATTTGAGATGGTTATGAACTATTATAGTTAACATTTATAGGTTTGAGAGCAGTTTTTATTAGACATTGTTTTCTAAATAATTACTTATCAGGGTATACATTAGTCTAAATGGCTATTATATTACTGTAATAAACGTGCTTTTAGCAGCAAAAATCTAATTCCGGAAGTGGGAGGTCATTGCAGAGAACAGTGCAAGAGCAGCCCGGATGTACACCAGCAACTCCAGGAGAGCGGATGAGTAATGGACACTTCATGTCGGTAACAGAATCTGTGGAAGAACTCTGGAGAAGCGAAGATACCGGACATTGGTGACCTGGGAGGATTTAGGAAGCAGTAAGGAAAAGTGAACTTTGAAAAACATCTAAGCTATGTGGCATGTTATACCTGAGAGAGAGAGAGAGAGAAAAAACCCACCAAAAATAAAAAGACAGCATTTGAAAATATGAAAACCAGCAGGAGTCACAATGCTTCAGTAAAGGAAAAAGGAAAAAAATGGTTTGAACCTTCTCAAATTGTGTACGGAACCTGAGGAAAATGTTAAAGGACATTTCCTCAGAGAGAAAATATAGATAAAGGGAAAGAACAGAGAATTAAATGCAGAGTTGTCAGAAACTGAAAAGCCAGCTTAGAGGACACAGTGAAAACCGTACAGGAAATGGCCTTAAAGGGAGGGGGGCACCAATCCTGCAAAGCTTTCCCAGTTGCCTTCAATTATAATGGAGGCTGTGAGTACAAATTCCCTGAAGAGAGACCCTCCCAAGGGTTTCTGATTTTCTGCTCACACATTGCTTGGAGAGAGACAAGCTGTCAAAGAACCATAAAGAACCATTTTAAGAAATAAATTGAAGCTTTCATCTCTTCGAGGATGTGTGATTAGAAAAATAAATCATATAGCTCTTTCAAATTACAGCCATAAAAATGAAAAATACTATTATATACATCCTACTTGCATGTAATGAGATAGGGTCTATAAGACTGAGTTCTTGGTGTTTATTTTTATTTCCATCTTGAACTTGAAACTTTTGACAGGCTCTTTTGGAAAGGGCAACTGACAGTTTTCTGACTCATACTGAGAAACTGTGAATGCATTTTATGCATAGCAAAATGAAAGACTAAGTAAGATAAAATGGAATGGTATATACGCTGTTCTGGCTTAATAGTAATGACAATCAGTAATAACTAGAGAAAAAACAAATGAATTGGTATTTTCACCCCCAAAGAGTAGGTATTCAAAGTATTTAAAAAATATTAAATTTCAAAACAGCAACTCCTGACACATAAAATTCGAAATCCCACACAAGCTCTTTCCGCTCACCTTCCAGTTCGCTGGAGTTCAGGGCCACTATGTCCCCCGTGGGGCTCTGCTTCCCCAGGAGCTGCTGTTCCGTTTGGCACAGCAGGAATCTTCCTCTTCTCCTGTGGGAAGTTTTTGTTTTTGCTTTTTAGTTTCAGGTGCTAGTTGTAAAGTACAGAAACATTCTTTTCCCTTGAATCAATATGCACAGTAGCTAAGAACCCGGGTCCTTGCTACTTATTTGCTGCATGACCCCCAAGAAGACATGTAAAATCTGAAAACTCCAGTTCTCTCCTCCGTTTACGGGTGGTAGTAACAGTACCAATTATCGTGGTTGAGAGATTAAAGGAGGTGATGGACATTTATTCGGTCTTTCAGCTAATATTTATTGAGTGACTAGTGTATGCCATTCATTGCTATGGATGTTAGAGATACAAAGATGAGCAAGAAAAATACATTCTATCTGTGGAGACAGTACCTAGTGTCAAGCAGAGATAAAGCTACCAAGAAAAATGAAGTAAGAGAAAGGGACAAAGAGAAGCCAGTGTCAGGGTTGGTTGGGATGAGGAGGTGTCATTTACGATGGTATTATTTGCCTGGCAGAGTTCAACTGTTACATAAGAAATAACTTTTATCAGTAGCTACTTTTTAAGTGTGTTCTTTCTTTGATATTGGCTGACATCTTCCTACTCAAGGAATGATTTACAGTATGATTCTTTCAGACTAATAAATATCCAAAAGACTATATTGAAAAAGGAAGTTTCTAACTGAGCCAATGACAAATTAGCTGAGGTTTATGTAAGTGCTATTTTCCCACAGGTCTATTCCACCCACTTTTATTAATGACAGAGATTTTTAAAGATCAGAAAATCCTACCTATTGTGCATACAAATATTCTCACGAGTGCTTAAAGAGATAATAAAAAATGTTAAAGTGATACAATTAAAGTTTTTATTTAACTGCCATTCCAAAATAAACATGTAAACCTGTTCTCCATGTTTAGTGTAAACTTGAAGAACAAAAAAAAAGTGAATTATCAAATGATCTTATATAGAATGAGACATTTAGATATAATGGTATGGTTTAAAACATGAGAAAATAACTTTTGAAATGCACAAAATAAAGGAAAGTTCATCGCTTAATATTTTTACAATTTCCCAGGCATAACAGATACATGGATCTGAAGTTCAAAGATAAAAGCAAAGTGTCTGTCAGTTTATGAAGGAACCACCTCTATAGGTAAGTAATCGTCATATATTAGTGAAGGGCTTCAAGAGTGACCCTCAAAATCCAATAATCACCTAGGGGACTGTTCTTAGCTTCCACAGTCTCAGAAAGCAAATGATATCATTTGGTCTTCTAGGTATCACCCATTACCAGGTAAGCCAACTTATCGTTTTACAATGGGAAAACTATATATTGATAAGGCAAATGATAAACTATGAAAGATATTAGCCTTTCTAAAATACCTGTTTCTTCTATGAGTGTTCATCTTATAGTAAGGGAAAAGGTGTTTGAAAGAGAAGAGGGTGCATAGTACCAAGGAAAATTCTGAGGAAAATATAGGAAATATTTCTTTGTTCAGAAACATACGTATCTTTATTATATTATAAAACAGTGAGTGAGTACATATTTGACCATTCAAATTATACACGTTATTAATTCAATCAACAAATACTTATTGAGGACCAATTTGTGTTATCCTCGCCCTGGCCACTGAAATGCCAATGGACAAATCAGGCCTGTGGAATTTACATTTTAATGCGGAAGGCAAATAGTGAACAAAGACATAAGCAAATTAATTCTATAGTGTCTTAGAGAGATTAAAAACTATTGAAAAATATTTAGAGCAGAGTGAGAGGAGGTCTGAGGTACAGGATGGGTGGGGGGAAAAGAGTCACAACCATAAACAGAGTGGTCAGTCAGGCTCAGTGAGAGAGTGTTGTCCGAGCGAACCCTGGGGAGGCACGGGAAGCAGCCGTGAGACTAACTAACTGGTGGGTGTCCGGGCAGAAGGAAGATGGAGGGACACGCAGAAGGCGGGAGTGTGGCTGCAGGACGTGCAGAACAAGGGGCAAGGAGGCCAGCAGGGCTGGAGAGGAGTGAGGCAAGGGAAAAAGCGGTGGGAGATGACTTGCGGAGGCCAAAGGAGGCCAGATTGTACAGGTGTCTAGGCCATTGCAAATAACTGCCTTTCATTCTCTCTGAAATGAGGAACTTCTGACAGTTTTGAGGAAAGAAGTAGCGGGATCTAACTTGGAGCACAGTCTGTGCTGAGAACAGATTCTAGAGACCAAAGGTAGAAATAAGGAGACCAGTTAGGAGGCTATTTCAATGACCCAGGAGAAATATGACGGCAGCTTGAACTGTGGTGGTGACAATGGCAATAGCAAGAGAGGGTATAATTCTGGATAAATATCGAAGGCAACGCTGAGTGTTTTCTGGAAGAAGGGAAGTCAGGTATAAGAGAAAAGGATATACGTTGTGGGTAAAATTGCAACATTTCCAGAATCTCCCACCTGGCCTCAGTGCATCTCCGTATCAATAGGCTATTCCAAGGGGTGGAGAGGAGCAGTCCATCTCCGCATCAACAGGGGATTACATGGGGGAGCGAGGGCATGTCTGGGCCGGAGAGGTTGGGTGGGTCTTTTTTTGCAGCCAGGTCATGAGAGACTCGAGCGGGCAGAGGGGAGCGACTGCTTGTAGGCAATAAATGGGTTCCCCCCAGTTTATTTCTCCCTTTGACTGATTTCAGTTTCAAAGGTAATTCCCCTGGGCTGGGAATATATTTTCCCCTCAGAGCTACATGTTTTTGGCTTGATCAACTGTAAGTATGGAGTTAGTATCTAGTAAGATGGAAAGGTGCATATGGAACAGGTTTTGAGGGGGAAAAAATCAGTTTCTTAACACTTCAGGAAGCATTACACTGCCTTTTCTAATATGTGCAAAGATGTGCACAAATACGGAAATGTAATGAACTACAATTCAGTTCATATTAAGTTTTAGGATCTGCAGGACATCCTAGTGGAGACTCCGGATAGGCATTTGGGTGAATAACTCTCAAGTTAAAGGTGAAAAATAAATTTGAAAGAGGATTTAAAGTTTATACCAGAATGGATGATATTACCAAGAGAATGAGTGCAAACAGAGGAGAGGAGAGGAGACAGCTAAGGACTGAGCCCTCCATCACTTCTTAAAGAAATCAGAGAGAACAGGAAGACCCAGCAAAAGACACTGAGGAATGGCCAGGGAAGAATGAGGGGAATCAAGAATGCGGTGTTTTGACAGCCAAGCAAAGAAAGTACATCAAGAAAAAGGAAGTCATCAGCTCTGTCAAATGTTCTAATTGATAAGCTAAGTTAAATGCAGACAGAGTATTAAGCATGGATTTAGCATCGTGGAGATTTTTGGTGACTTTTATGTAAGTAATTTCAGTGAAATAATTGGGGGCAAAAGCCTTATTGGAGCAGGTTTCAGAGAATTAGCAGACAGGAGTTGGAGACAGGGTAGTAATGAAAACTCGTCTATGGCATTTGGTTGCAGAGGGGAACAAAGAAATGGGTGAGTAGCAGACAGTGGCAGTGGTGTAGAGGGCTCTCTGAAATTTGTAAATTAATGACATTGCATGCTAACAAAGATGACAGAATACAGAACAAAAGAATTGGTGATAAATGGGAGAAAGAAAGAAGTAATGGAGTAATGTCTTTGAGTAAGTGTGAAGAGATGGGATCCAGTGCACAAGCAGAAGTCTGCCATTGGATAATTCAACAGAAAGGTAAGGGAAGGCAGAAGATGTGGGTGTGGGTGCAGGCAGGTAGGTACATGTGGTGGCAGGCATCTATGGAAGTTTTCTTTTTAATCATTTCAAATTTCTTAGGGAAGCAGGAAGCAAGTCAACTTCCTGCAAAAAGTGAGTGTCAGGAAAGATGTGCTGGAGGTTTGAGGAGAGAAAACAGGTGTGCAGTAGTCATCTACAGAGAATGACTGGACTAGAGTGGTGCAGCATGATGAACTTGCAACATTCAAGGCCCACCTGAGGTATGTGGTCATGAATTACATGAGATCAGACAGTGTAGTTACAGGCCCTTCAGCCACAGTCAGTTGCATCAGTGCAGCACACACTAAAGAGTTAGAGTCACAGAGGGCTGTGGTTTCAACAAGCAAGTAAATGGGGTGAAAAAAAAGCAAAGAGGTTGAGAGTAGACAGGGAGTAATTATAATAATTGACACAAAGTTCTAATGAATATTTTCAGGGTTGTTTCTTGAGGTTACAGGTTATTCTCTTAACTGAAAAGAAAAAGTATTAAAAATTCTGTGATTTAGACACATCAAAAGAATAACCCATGGAAATTATCCCATGGGGGAAAATATTTGAAGAAATATGAAGTTAGAGTGCTTAATATGTTTTAATTCATTTTGTTCCATTTAATAGAAGAAAACATAGTTTCATAGTAGTTATGATTCAATTACAACATACTTCTAAAAAACACTAATGTAAAGAAGCATATAGTATATCTCGAATTCAAATTCATTGTGTAAAACTTCTATTACTTAAATAGCCACTAACTACATGTGGTTATTTAAATGTAAGTTAATTAAAATTAATAATCAGTTTCTCAGTTTCAATAACCACATTTCTAGGGCTCACAGGTAGCTTGACTTATTAGATAGCATAGATATAGAACGTTTCTATCATTGTAGAAAGTTCTATTGGACATACCAATATAGAACGCCAATACAGAGAAGTTAGGGCATCTGTTCAAGATCATACAAATAAATAACAGCAGGACATAGGTGCCCTGGTTCTTAATTCAATGTTCTTCCTACAACTGCCTCTCAATACCCACAATCTAATAATTAATACTGACTTTAAAGAGTCTCATCAAAATAATTTAAAAAATACAAAGCTCATATGCAACTTTCCTCAAAAACATAATTCCTCAAATGCAAGGTGTTTTCAAAAATGCCTGACTTCAGTTCTATGTTTGAAAAACTAATAAGTGTTAATAAGTAACTTTAAAAGTCTCATCCTCAGTGTATTAGCATTTTCAATGGATTTTCTCAAATAATATCAATTAAAATGTTTCTTTCTTATTACTTCAGGAAGCATTATATTGCTGATTTCTTAATATTATAAGTGCAAAGATGCATACCAGTACAAAAATAAGACAATCTATAACCCTTAAAATTACTCCTTAAGTGACTTCTTTTAGTTTAGTAACAGATCAGCAGAAACTATGTGGCTGCAATTATACAATCACACAATTGTAATTACTGAGAAAAGGAAAGTAAATAGTCTTTAATAATTATGAAATAGTGAAATTGAGGTGGCCCTTTTACATACTCATGGTTGAGTGATACACCTGCTCATTTGTCCACCTCTGGCTAACTAGAAAAACTAGGTACAGGGCTGGGTCAATTAAAGCCACCTGTTACCTTAATGCAGGCAGTAGAGTCAGACCAAGCTGGACTCCACAGAACAAATGCCAAAGCCAGGCTGAGTAGATGACAACTGGGAGGGTTGTAGGAGGCAGATTCAGTAGAAATAGAGGTGGCAATATGACGAGTGGGCTTAACAAACATTCGGCCACCAATCTTAACAAAGTCGTGCCTGCAGCTAGAAAATGACTTTGAACTATATTGTCTTTATTTCTCTTTCTGGTTTTGTACCATGAGTAAAATGCATATTAGTTTTTTATAGGCAGAATTTTTACATTTTTTATACCATATGCCCACACAGAGATAATATAAACATAAGAATTATAATAAAAAATTCTTCCCAGTCATAAATGTGATCAGCAGTGACAGGGAGCCTTCTATATGATATGACTAAGCCATGCCTTTGAATGTTCGTTATCCTGGCCAATTTCAAAGTGATGTATCAGAATATAGAAATACACTAGAGGGCTTTCTCTCAAGCCATATTTTATATCTTTATTAAAACTTTAATTTTCCTCCAGTATAATATGTTTTAAGGTATTTCTAAAATCTTTGCAGGTATATGGGATTTGTTTGATTTCATAGCATATCATCAATACACCAAACATTTCCGTGAGTTGTGCTGGACAGGATCAAGGAAGATTGTAACCTCATGGTCTTGCTTTCATAGAGATCAAATAGGTCTGGTGCCAATTCCAACGTGAGAAGAAGAGGGGAAGTGTTCCCCATCTCTACAAGCAATGCTCCGGATACCAGCTGGGGGTCCTACAACTCAATTCTGACACTATCTCCTGGAGATAGCATCGGATCCCGCAGGCTGAGGGCTCAGTCCTGCAAGACTCCTCACCCTCCAAACTGGCTATGACTCTGAGGTCCTCAAGTTGCTCCTCGTTGGGTTCAATTTCCTAGAGTGATTCTCAGAACTGACAAAAACATTTACTTATTAGGTCACTAGTTTATTGTAAAAGGATATAACTCATGAACAGCCAGATGGAAGAGATGCAAAGAGCAAGGTGTAGGGACAGGGCAAGGAGCTTCCATGGCCTCTCTAGGCACACCACTCTCCCATGGGTTCACCACCCAGAAGTTCTCAGAACTCTGTCCTTTTGGGGTTTCATGAAGGCTTCATTACACAGACATGATTGATTAAACCACTGGCCACTGATGACTGAACTCAATCCCCCAAACACTCTGCCCTCTCCAGAGGTGGGAGGATGCGACTGAAATTTCCAGCCCTCTGGTCACATGGTTGGCTCCACCGGCAACGAGTCCCAACCTTAGGTGAGTTACGAAGCTCACCTCATTAACATAACAGAAGACACCTGTGTCGCTCTGGACACCAAGGCTATTTCAAGAGTTTTAGGAGCTCTGTGCCAGAAACCAAGGATGAAGACCAAATACATATTTCTTATGATAAATCACAATACCACCGAGGTTATAATTTGAGTCATTTGAATCTTTTTGATGGGTCATGCTATTTCAGTACATGTATTTAGAAGACAACAAAATGATGGGATTTTTTTTAGTATTTTCAAATGTACATACCTGGGAAGGAACGTTTTTGGGAGGCTCTATTCGAATGCTTGGATCCCACTCCCCTGGAGGGAGAACAGTGACTTGATCCAGAAACTCATCAATTCCCGATACCAAGTCATTACGGTCTTTAGCTTTGTAAGCAACATCATGAAATACCTATGAAAGGAAAAGACATATCATTTATAGATAAAAAAAATTATAAAATCTTAATGTGCTCAGTGTTTTCATTTCCTTGTTATCTTATATGTGATTATAATAATTTGAAGAAATAGGTAGCTCTAAAGAATTTTTTAATGTAAAATATTATTATTTTGTTTATTCTATGAATACACAGTAATACATATTTTTCTTAGAATGTCAGGATAAATGTTGAAATTTCCAAAGGCAAGAATTAGAGAAAGGGAAAGGAGGATGAAAAGAAGCTCATTAAAGTAGAATTAAAGATTCAAGTTTGGCAAAGCTTATTTATGCATGGGTAAATCAAACTTTCTAAAAGATGCCCTTGCTGAAAAATAGAGATAAAAATTTCTAGAACATATTAGAAATGTTAGCAATCTTTATAACTGGGCATACATAAACTAATTAAAAATGTCAATTTGGTTCAATTTTTAAATAATAAGGTTATAAATATAAACAAAAAGGTTAAATAATAAGGTTATAAATTAGTATTTTCTGGATGTATATCATATACATACAGGGCAGAAAATATATTTCCATTCAAAGTATGTTACATTTGCATGTGCACACACAGCGTGGTACTCACTTAGGCTATTGACAGACACGTGGGTCTTCTAGACACATGGTAGGATTGCATTCCTTGCCTCCTTTGATACTGGGATTAGGTGTGTTCTATTTAGGTGTATATATGTCACTTTCAAATGGAAGTTATGAGTGCCAGTGTGTGACTCATTGCCTTTTGTCTGCCAAAGTGAGTAACTGAGAAAATGGGTTGAGATGGAACTTAAATAATCCTGGGTTCCTGAATGACTATAGTGACCAGAATCCCTCTGCCAGTTTGTGATGGACACATGACATGATAGAAATAAATCCTTGTAGGCACTGAGATTTTAATTGGTCATTCTGCAGCATAAGGCAGTCTCACCAACTAACATCCAGAGGAATGATATACTTAATTTAAATGGGAAAAGTTAAAGATAAATGGGAAAAATTAATGTATCCTAACATAATAAAAATATTCTGAAACTTTCTGTATCTCACATAATATGAAGTGGAACAGAAAAATAAAGGGCCTATACAGCCCGGCCCATTACTTCCCTGACCCTACTGCCCACTGTTCTCTCCCTTTTTCCCTCCTGCTAAGACACTGTTGTCTTCTTTGCTGATCCCCAGATATTCCAGGCACACTCCTGTCTCAAAGTTTATATCTTCATGTAATGTCCTAGTCTTAGATGCAGAAACGTATTGTAACATGAAACATATGTGCATGTAAGTGACAATACTTACACTGTGGAATACAAACTGTGGTGCCATTTATTTTTCAATACTATAAATTTGCACATATTAATGAATATGGAGACACTGAAAGCACAGCTACAGTGAATGTCCGCTCATAGAGAATTCTGCCAGAAGGCTTGTGTTCCTCACGGGGCCTCACTCTGCCGTCTTCGCCGAGATTTCCTCACTAGAATGTTACTAATCACAGCGGATTGAGTAGTGAGTGCCCTCTCAATATATATGTCCGCCTGAACCTCAGAAGGTGACCTTCCTGGAAATCAGAGTCTTTGCAGATGTAATTAAGGTAAGGATCTCAAGAGGAGATCTTCCTGGGAGGGGTGGGCCCTCAATCCAATGATGAGTGCCCTCATCAGAGACAGAACAGGAGACAGAGGGGCAGGGTTGAGGTCCATGTGCAGATGGAGGCAGAGATTGGAATTTTGCTGCCACAAAAGCCAAGGAATGCCAGGAGTCACCAGAAGTTGGAGAGATAAGGAAAGATTCTTCTCTAAAGGCCTCAGAAAGAGTATGGCCCTGTTGACACCTGGACTTCATACTTCTGGACCCCAAAATATGAGAAAGTAAGCTACTCTTGTTTCAGCCATCTTATTTATGGTAATTTTTTATGGCAGTCACAGGAAACATATACTCACTAAGTTGGCTCTTTCTGAGACTGATGAAAAAAATGTTTTTCTTCTAGATTTTGGTTTCCTGTTTATAAATATCAATAACTGATTCACATAAAACCATAAAACATAATTTGAACAGATAGCATTTATACTGAAACCCAAACACAAGCTCAACTTTTCAGATTTCATTAACTTAGGAAAATTTACATACAAATAATACAAAGGTGTTGGGGAATTCAAGAAACCAGTTAAATAATAGTATGTTTTATGTTCTTATTTTTATGACCTTATATTTTTGAGACATACACCTCTTTGCAAAGGTGATGAAAGCTTTTCTCAGTCAAAAAAAAAATACATAGAAATTTTTTCTGTAGAAAAATTTATGTGCTGTATCAAAGAGATGACAGGCCCCTTGAAATCCACCTACCACTCCTCTAATGGTTCAAAGATTCCCTAGTTAAGAACATTCAGGCAACTGTAAAAAGAGTTGATAAATGTTTGCATGGCTTTTGGTGTCATGTATGCTATTCAAATAAATTGCCATTGTTTTTTCTTGAGACCTTAAAATTATTTTGCCTCAAACAAAATTTGCAGTGTCACTCACTTTGGCAGTATATATAAGGAGAATAATAGTAAATTTACTTTAAATGTCATTAAATATGGAATTTTCTTTAGAATATGAGGTTTTAAAGTATTTTTTTCATATGTGTGAATTTATTATGCCTTTTGAGAAAATTTTTCCAAAGGAAATTTTATAGTTGAAGCATAGAAGAAGGGTATGCAATATGGAGAACTCTGATTCACAGCAAATTGTCATGAATATAGGAACTCCAGAAGTTTGGTATACTTAGTGGGGGACAATGTTCCCAATGAACTTGAATAAATACCTCATCTGTCATTAGGGTTGCAATTGATCTGCCAATCTCATGGTACTGTTGACCCTTTCCCAGAGGTCCCAGAAGAATAAACAAAAATCTGTAATTAAGAAGACAAAAAACAAATGTTTCAAGGCAGAAAAATAAAAATAATTTCAGAATACAGAATCACTGATCTCAAAGAAATTATTAAAGATGGAGATTTTGACTATTTTTCATAGTCTACTATTATTTTGAAACATTTCTAATGATTGACTCATGCTTAAGATCCTTGAGCAAAGGGAATCTGTGGTTATTTTGATCTCAGTGTTTCCCCCATTTAGTTACCTGAAAATGAGGGGTTAATGTTTTACTGATTCCAATGCTGGAGGAATAAAAATACAGATGCACTGTGATATTTCAACTAAATAATGTTGAAAGTCTGGCAAACTCATTATCACAACTGGAGCTTTTGAAGAAATCAATATGTGCTCTTACTATGAAGGATTGGTCATTGTGCTGTCTATGCAAAGGTCGCTGTTGCAGAGAAATTGTGAAAATTTTAAAACGCCCTATATTCTGCAATATAATTTAATGGTATTACAGTATTAAATGATTTATGCTCTTAAATATGAAAATTAGCTTTCTAAGGTATATTGAAATAGGTATTATAATCTTACCCTTCATTTAGTTGTAAACTTTAAAGACGGTACATGTTTTTACATGAAGCATATACTATACTGTCTTAGGTCTTGTATTAATTTTTTTTTCAGGTGTAATTGAATCCAAGTCAATTTCCTATATACACAAATGTCCACTATACATTTAAAATTGGAATAGTTTAATGTGGTGGTAGATGCTTATCAACTATAATGCCTTTAAGAAATTTCCTAACCTATACACATCTTGCTATTTTTCAGGTTTCCCTTCCATGAGCTATTTATAACTCCTAAAAGATTATTTTCTGACATTTTTACTATGTGCTGCTGTTATATTCATAGTGTGCCCTTTTGTCCTCCTAAGAATGGATAATTAGGAACCCTGAGTGGCTTTCTTTATTCTATTTGTCTAACTAATCTTCCTCCATTTTTCACCTTTCCTAACTAAATAGTCTAGTCTTTTTCATCTCTCCTTAGGCAGTGGCTCTACGTGCCCCTAATTTTTCCTCTATTGTTCTCTACCCATATTTTGCTCTACAGTATGAAATGAGGTCAACTAAACCTTGACAGCTTTGAAAGTGAGGGTATGTGACCCCATTATGGCTTTTTTCCACTTGTGGGAATTTTTCTTTTCTTTCCTTTGAAATACAGGAACTATCATTGTCATAAATAGCCATCATTTTCTCCAAATTCATCAAATACCTTCCTAAATGGTAGAACAAAAAATTCACTGCTTGGAAGACTGGAAGGAATTTTAAACTACTAAAATAATACCTCTACAATTAGTAAGGTCAACATCTTAAGTCTGAGAATACAAATTCCCAGAAACTCTGAATAGGTCACAGGCAGTGTATAGAAAAAATAAAGCCTTAATCATACAGTCAGGTGCCATGTCAGTGTGCTCAGCCTATCCTTCTTTTTAAATAAAACTTGGTATTGGAAATCACAGCAGCCTTCCATCAGGGAGAACAGATACTTCTTTCCATAATCTGAATGGTAACCAGGTTCCTGCCACAGATTCACGCATAGTTGTTCCAACACTGACCTCAATTCCAGTCTGCTGAACACTTATGAAATGAGGCCCCTCCCACCTAAACTATTCCACATTTTTGGAATATCTTATCCATAATCAGAGCACAGAGAGATATAATCTGCTATTCTAAGTTAAGAACAAAGGTCCACAGAGGAAATATATCCTACAAACCCAGTTGCATAGCACCTGAACTTTTCATCATTTTAACTTGGCTAAAGCATTCGATGTTGGGAAGAGGAGCCATACTAACAGCATCTGAAAGAGCTACAGCATCAAACAAAGGGCACCAGTCACACGGGGATGGGGCCTTATATAGATAAATCTTGCCATAGGAATAGAATTCAGACTAAATACTGTCTGTATACAGCAATCACATTTGATGAAAGAAAACAAGGTCCTTGGGATGAATTGCTAGGAACCTAATGTGCTAAAGTCAATGTTCTTTTTTTTTCTCCTCACAGTTTTGCCTGTGGACTGTCTTAAATCTGTAAGACAGAGATAAATGATAAACAACATAATTTAGTTTGCATTATCCCTAAGTTGTTAATGTTTATGTACAGTTAAATGAAAAAGAAGTTCAGGTGATCAAATTAGATTTGTACTTTGGATTTGAATTGACCATAGTGCCCTGACACTACTACCAGAGATTCTTCACTCTCTATGCACAGGCAGCGTGTGGTGCCTGGGATTGAAACATAGCACATCAGAGACAGCAGGAACGATCCTGATACTTTGTACTCGGAAGTCCTACTCACTCAAGCAGAAGCCAAGCCTTGGAAACAGACCTTCTTGAGTGCGACCACACTAATACACAGGATCCTCTTTAGCCCACCGTCTAATGCATTCTTTGAGAAAAGCCGAACACTTTTTTATCACTTTTTGCTAAAATTGTAAGAAAGAATTCACGTGGTTATGTAGACCAGGGTTTTCAGAGAGGAGGAGCATTGCTAAAAGGAAACATGGAAGTTTGAGGGTAAGGAGGAAAAGTAGAATACTTTTTAAAGCACTTTACCCCTCCTTCACAAAAAGAAGGAAAAATAGTTCTGTGCAATATGCATTAGTGTCCAGAAAAAAAAACTCCCAAAGGAAATCATACTTACTCCCCTTTTGTTCCCACCAACAAAAACAATGGTTTAAGAAAAACGCCAAAGATACTCTAATACTTTGTACCTCGTTGGGATTGGGACTTCAGCCAGTCCTTGAAGCAAAACAGCTGGAGACAACCTGACAAACGCAACTACAGTCCTGTCCAAGAACTCCAGTTCTCCCACTAAGATGTTTGAAGCTTCCGCACCTGGAGGAATCTTTTTCATAAAATGCAGATCAACCTGAGAGCGTCACAAAGTAAAAGAAGATAAATCAAAACTGGGAAACTTTGTTCAATCATACCCTCACACAGTGCTTCATGCATGGTAATCCATCAATAAATACAGCTTAAATAAATATAGCTTTTATATAGTCTAAGCAAATTTTAAAGATAGTTAAACATCTCATTTGCCCTCTAATCATAGTAATTTCTCTTACATATTTTTCTAATTTGTTACCAATAAGCTGAATACTCTAGTTGCTCTCTTCAATATTTTTAAAAGAAGCTTCTTTAGCATCAGCAATCTTGAAATTTTGGGGAAGAAAAGAGTATGTGCTGAATTAAATGAATGTACTTTAGACATAATTTGATTCGCATTTGCCAGTAGATTTACGTATTTTTAAACTACATTATCTTGATTTTGTACATAATACATTTCGATCAATTAATATTCGGTATGTATGTATTTCAAAAGAAATATAATCCTGTTTCTTCTTACAGTATAAATTATGATTTTAGTCTTCAATTTTTATTCTAGCTATTCTATATCCTTCACATTCTATATTTGGCCAAATCATTCTTTAACTTTAATTCCTCATCAGAAAATTTCAATATGGCAGAGTGAAAAAAAGCAAGAATAAGAGCATTAACATTTGGAGCTGCTGAAGAGCCATAATTGAATTACTGATATGAAATGTCTGTGATTGAAATGAATGCATACAAAACAAAAAGCGATTAATAACAAGAAGAAATGCTTAAGAGTCAAAGGTGAAGTCTGAAACATGAGTAAAATATTCTTAAGAGTAACTATCAAATTTTATGTACACGGCCTTACTGAGAAGCAAGTGGTGACTTTAAAGTGATTTTACAAGGCCTATTTCTTGTTTCTAATTCACTTGAGTAGCTTTTCATAGAAATCTTTTTGTAGGGAGAATAAGAAAAAAAGTTTATCTGATCTAGTAATCGGTTTTATGCTCTCATCCTAATGAAATGAGGGTCTAAGATCAAAGTGGCAGTTGCCGACAGAGAAAGAAATACTCTGAAAAATATAGGTGAGCCTGAGATTTTTTTAGGTCAGTCTTTCTTTTGCAAGTGTAACGATTTGAGAATATTTTGTCCAAGAAGTTTAACGTGAAAAATATTAAAATTTTTAGGAGTAGTACCATAGGAAGTCCACAGCCCGCCTTTAGTTACTACATTTAATATGCTGCTTTCTGAAATCAAGACCTCGGCTATTTAGGTTTATAACTAGTTAATTTTCTTCAAGATGGGGGTGCCACAAAACATAAAATCTATTATATGGAGTATATATTTTATCATAAGGATTAAATATAAAAATTATCTGCAGTACTCTACTAGAAGTGTCAAATAGAACCAATATTCTTTTTCAAAGAAAAATAAAAAATGGATTAGAAAAGCAAAACTGCCTACAAAAAAATTATGACAATATTGTAAATTCCAAAGTTTTTACCTATACACTTCCAAATATAAATTTGTAATCTCATAAAACATATACAATAGGACTTTATATGGTAAATATTTTCCTTTTAGAGACGCTAACCTTTTAATTTACAGATACAAAACTTTTTATCTTAATAATACAAGCTTGGATTTTATGGGAATTATTACCATATTTTTTGTAATTATTTTTCTAGCTAGGGGAAATATAAACATTGAAAATGCTTTAAATTAGTAATGCTTTCAAATTTCACTATAATGCATAAATTCTCAAGACAGGAATAAAAGATTGCCTATACATTACTATCCCTGTGAGAAAAAAATCTTCCTAAGTCTTTCAGAGCCTAAAAGAGTAAACAAGTTTTTCCCCTAGTGGAAATAACAATTATACAAAGTTAATAAACCAAAACAAAACTTAAAATGACAAAATAGCTTTTTATGATAATCTACAATTGATAAATAATATGAGTTATATTAATAATACCTGTCATAATTTTAATGAGAAATTTAAATTCTACATGGAAAACATTCTATATGCATGTTTATTGCTTGATAAATGCCATAGCCTTAATTATTGAAGCTGGTGTCTCAGGCAGGTGGCAATTATACAAATAACTGCTTTAAGACGCAATTTAATTATATCAAGGAAGACCCAGTATGCTAAAATAGTTCAATTTTAAAAAAGGAAAATATGGTCCTTACATATGATTCTTGCACTAATTACATAATACCTAATCTATCATTGATTAATATTTGTTATTTTAAAACAGCATAAATGTACAGAATTTAATTTCAGGATTAGTCAATTTATCTTTTGATTTAAAATATAATAAGTTGTAGTTAAATAACATATATCTGGTATAGCCATTACATTATATTATTCTTGGAGTAGTCATATGTTTTAGGGTAACAGATTATATAACACATTATCTAATTATATTATTGTATTATACAATTACATACTATACAACATTTTTGTATTTGCAGTAATACTCAATTGATAAGTAACCTTATTTGGCAATCTACCTTTTAATATAACAAAAAAAATCACACTTAAGGACCATAATTTATTCTTTTATAGAATTACAAATACCTAAAATATCTCTGAGGAACTAGGTTGAATTATATCCCCAAAATAATCCTCCAGTGGACACAAGACACTTGGAATGAACATAAAGAAATTCTGAAATGTTCTGGTCCTCTGAATAGGACCTTGAAGAATAAAGCGATACTCTTACAGATCTGAATTTATACTCATGCTTTGGGCTCTCCAGGCCTTTACACTAAGAAGGGAAATATACTTTATTCTGGGCAATTGGTCCTTAAGTTGTGGGTGAGAAACAGTTATTTCTCTAGGGAACAGAGTTAGGCAGATGATCATGGTGGAACTGGAAGTGTCTGGACAAGATATACACTGAGATGTGGAAGAAATACAGACGGGAATTTAAGGAGACAGTTTAAGTCTTAAGCCCATTATAGAAAGTACAACAAAATCAATAGGGAGTCTCTAGGGAGAAATGGTGTTGTGACACTAACCAGCCTGCGATCCTGAGCAGCTCTCTCAACCTCTCTGGGGTTCAGCTTTCTCACCTTCTAAAGGAGGAGATTTCTAGGTTTCCTACAGTTCTGGGATTTAATAATTCAACTCTTTGTAATGTGTTTCACATACTGAAGATAGATGCAGAACAGAGTTCTTTCTACGTAGAAAATACTGTGAAGCTTCTTTGGGCCATGAAATAAAAGAAACATGACCTATATTAGGAAATACTAAAATAGCTAGCTTCTATATGTAAGTTTGAAAAACAAAAAGAAAGAGACAGAGTGTTTTGACACATCTGCTTTTCAAAGGCATTTTAGGAAGCACAAAACTGACAACTCAGCTTACATTAATAAACATTCCTTAAATGAGTAAGTTTGATAGACCTATCCATCAGAAGGGTTGATTGTATGGAGATTGAATGGAGATAGAATCTATGATTAAGTCACACAAAATGAAAACTTTTTTTCCTTAACATTTCAAAATTCTACTGGGGTTTGTAATCTATATTTTAAACTTAAAATACTTAAATGGACAGAGTACCCTGAAGACTAGCTAAGCTCTGATAAATTCACTACCAAACTGAAATCATTATGCTAAAAATCCTAAACTCATGTACCTGCAAAATCTGGCACTAAAATTTGTTTCTACAATGATAGGTCATGTTTGTTCTTTCGAAAGCCTATTACTCTGCCATCCCAAGTTATAAAGTAAGAACTGTTACTTGGTGTTTCATAAAAATGCCAGAACTAAAGGCTTAAATGATTTTGAATCTCACAGGATTTATTCAACATATACATCCCAAGCACTGTTCAAGGAATTAGAGATCCAGTGGAGACCGAAACATACTAAGTTCTGGTCTAGTATTTATTTTTGACACTATGATTTTACTATGTAGTAATAATAGTAGCCACCTTTTATTCAACACATACTATATGCCCAGCACTGTGCTGGGCTCTCATGCTCCATTATCTCATTTAATCTTCACGAAAAATATTATAAATAGATATTATAATTCTCATTTTACAAATGAGGAAGCTGAGGTTCAGAAAACTCCAAGATCAGAGAGCTTATAAACTGTGGGTGAGGATTCAAGAATTCATGCTCTTTCTTTCAGGGCTCCACGCCACAGACAAGGGGCGGGAGTATAGATGGTTGGCGCTGAGTAGAGAGCTCTAGAAATTTAACTTGCCTACCAAAAGTTGAAATGGACCAGTTATTGGAAACGCAATAAGGAAGAAAAGGTAAGGACAGTTATTTTTCACTCTTCTATAGTTCTAATTGAGGAACCTGAAGATAAGACTACTGTCTCCAACTGGCAATATTCATTTTCTTTCAAATGTGATGAAGCATTTTTGAAGGCTGCAAAGATAGGTCAGACACCTAGAAGTGAAATGATATGGAAATATAAAATTTAGCATCAAGGGTTATATCCTTTAAAAAAAGTTAAAAGCTAATTCATTTGAAAGTACCTGATTGATTATCAGTTTTTGAAAATGTTAAATATGCCCTTGTTATGCTGCTAATGCCTGTGTAAATATGTAAGCCACTTCTTATGTCATTGTTTTTAAGACATTGTTTTGAATGAAGAAATCATAAATTAAATATATGGTAGTTTGCAACAATTTTCTTTCAACTGGCAGATGAATGAAGATGTAATGTTTTAAAAAGATTTTTTTGGAGTGGCAAATGGATAGATTTGAACTGGTTTAATATTTGAATCACATGCCTCCATACAGTGAAATGAGCTTGGAGCCACTGAAGAAACAGCCCAAGTATGCCCTCACCTCTCTCTCTTGCTGGTGTGGAGGTCCTTTGTCATGCCTTTGTTTCATGCCACATGGACTAGTGTGCCCCTTTTGTTGGCCTCCCAGTCCCTGCACGCATAATTAACAGACTTAAGCTGGTACGCCATGCTCCCAGGGGAGACTCCACCAGGCACCCAAGGGAGAGCATGCACACAGAGGCCTAGACCACTTAGGCATCGGCAGGGGGATTCGGACACAGCAACAAGGAGCTGACTGCTATCACTCTTCTCAAATCAGGCAACTTCCCCTACTCTACCTCCCATCCCCACCTCCACCCGCTGTGACAATCATTGCCAGTAATAACTGCTTTATGAAAAAAAGAAAAGGAATCACTCTGAGTTACTACTGTTTCAGCCACTCAGATAAAGAGAATTGTTGACCCCCTTTATTTTTGGTCAATATTGAAACTCCTCTTTCCTGTTTAAGTGTTAGTTTGCCACCACCTATAATAGTGCATATAAAATGTCAGGGATTCACTAACTAAAATCACATTATTTTTACAGAGACATCATTTTCTTAGAATACAATCAAGTAAATGATGGCATATAAACTGTCTCCAGTTAGATGTGCCCTCAACAGAGTCAATCTTTATTATGTTTTTATTCAAAACTCTACTCTTACTGTCCTTGCATTTCCTTAACACTAATACCTTTCTCTGAATTGACAGTGAAACTTTATGTGATTTGCTTTTCCACAAATAGAGGAAAACTGATTTTGAAAAAAAGCTAACAAAAGTTTTAAACAACAAACTTCTGTTAAATTCTCTGTGAAGTCATTATTGTTTTTACTAGAAGAGACATATTATACCAAGTGGCTGAAACCTGAAGACTATGCATAAAACTTACGCCTTTGGTTTTGTGAATAAGCAAAACGTTACATGTGAACTTAAATGCTAACATTATCTATAACAATATCAAGCTTTGGCTAAGAAACAAAAAATTGTGCATGCATGAAATTGTGTCAACACCTCTTTAAATGGGTAGTAACTTCTAGTAACAATTCAGCCGATTACTTGGGTGAGAGGGAGGAAAGCTTACCTTGCTGAAGTCAACCGTGCTGTTCTCCCTGCTCACATCATTTTTATTTTCAACACAGGCTGGAGCAGAATGAGGAGAAACAACCTGACCTGCTAAAAGAGATTGTTATTCCAGAATACAAACAATTACTTGCAGAATTCTAGACATACTGGATGACATAGCAATTGAATTACACTAACAAAGGTTTCTTAATGAGTTTATGAGGTAAGCATGAGGGGTCATTATAATTAGATCTATAGAAATACAAATATTCTTATTTATCAGTTACAGATAGAAATGGGAGAGTTCAGTCAAGAAAATGTAAACCAATTCTCTGATTAAAACGCTATCACTGAACGGTCATCCTCCAATGAAGAAAGAACACCTACAAAATTTTCTAAATCTGATCATGGTTTGAAGCATCAGTGATTTGTGAATTTCATCCAAAACTAATGAGATATACAGTTTTAATTTTATATACTTGAATATATATATATATACATATATGTCAAGATAGATATCTATCTTGATTTAAGCTGAGATTGTAGAATTTAAAATGTAAAGTTTTTAAAAAGGAGCAAATATTTATCTGAAAAGTACACAGTGTATTTATAGCTTCTATTGCACCTGAAAAAACAAACCAATGAGAAAAAAATCCTTGACAATAACTTTTAGAGATTTCTATATGAAAGCTTCCGTTAGAAATACCTCTTCCCCCATACTACAAATACTATGAATATGATTTTATGCTTATCACTATTCAATTGTGCAAGCATGTTGATATTGGTCTTCATGAGAAAAGATAAATAAACTTGAATTGAACTCGTGTTCCACTAATATTAAGCAGCAACTTCATTATTTTGTACTCTTTTCCCCCATTATGAAATTAGTTAAGTGGACAACAGGTGGGAATTTAACAACACGTAATTAAATTCCATTTTCACCAAATATGAAACATTCTTTTCAATCACAACTTATCTGAAACCTGCCCATATTTAGTAATTAAATGATAAAAATTTATGTGGTTTGCCTGATTTCAGATGTAACTTTCTTCTTCCCCAATCTTTCCCCATGCCAACTTGTCACTTTTGCTGTGAAATTATTAACAACAATCCAGCTTTGAATCTTTGAGCATATTTATGATCATAACTTAATGGCTCCAAAATACCGATCTTCCTCACATCGGTCTCAGACAGGAATGCCCTTCACTCTGCCTTGTTTTGCTCTCCACCTGCCTGAATTCTAACTTCATTCAAAATTCACCTGTAGGCTCATTTTCCAATTACTGCTGTCCATACTAATTGGAACTTTCCTAAACTACTCGTGTATATACGAATAAAACCTTTTCTTTAAATTCTCTCCTGAAATCCCACTTATTCTTTGTTACCTGGAAATTACCAAGTATGATTTAAAACACTAATAATTTATTTTCAAACATTAGTATAATTTTTCTTTTGGAACTACTAAGCCTCTCAGGCAGGAGTCATTTATTAATAGGTACAATATTTTATGGTTTAAAATTATTAGATTGCCAGAAAGCAATGGGCTTAAAATTCTTCTATGACTTACATGTTTCTCTGATTTCACTAGACAAAGTAAAATAATACATCTGGTGAAGACTTTAGAAATGACTTTTTAAAGCAAATTCACCTCAAACCATTTACACAAATTCTGGTTATAGCATATTCCAAGAAATATATGAATGTTGGAAAAGTGACAGACTTAAGCTGCATCAATTATTTTCATTCTCCCATTTCTAACTGCAATGTGCAGCTATGACTGTGAACTGTTCATTAGCAGCCATTTAATTTATCATTCTCAAAATAATAACTGTAATCTTTTAAAAAAAACCTCTTACATAATGCATTTGTGCTACTAACAGATGTCTTCAATCACCAGTTTCACATCATTTCTCCATATTTTCATGAGTTAGAACATTAGATATATTTAAACCTAAATTTACTGAATGTTCTATAAAATTGAGTGGTGAAATTCAAGGCATGGAAAACTTAAACAGACATATATCTATCTTCTTATATTTATTTCATGTAGTATAGAACTACATGGAAGAACAGTCTTTTAATTCAGTCACCACACACATACAAAAAGAGAGTCAGCCCAATGCAAAATCATCAACTTTAAGAAGTTTAATTGGATAGAAAATAAGCTATAACTTAAAATTTGAGAAATCGACTGGTCTATGTTTTCATATGCATACTTTAAAAGCAGAATATTTTGTAAATTACTTTCAGCTCATGCAACATGTTCAAAACACTGGCACCTGTATTTCCTCTTCTAAATATTAATATATTTTAAGTTATTTTCTATGATATTTTGCTCTAAGATGATGACAATTTTATAAAA